AAAAGAAAATTTTAGCTGAAAGTTTTTCCTGAAATCTATTGTTGGAGGCATATACTTAGTCTGATTGTTTCCCTGCTGCAATAAGCAAGTCAAGAATACCACTGTGACTGTGCTTCTGCGCTCTCCAACGCCTGACTCTTTGAATCTGACTGCACACATTAAGCGCATGAGTACGACATGACTTAGTTGCGCCTGTAGCGCCTGCGCAAGCTGTTTTTTATATACTGCTTCGTTTCCTGACCATCAGCGCCACCATCCATATTAGCACATATATGTAAAACCCCCTTGAGGAGTGGCTCTATTTGCATCTGAGACCAGCAGGATATTATGGAGGATGATATTATTATTCTGTTTCTATGCATTTTCTCGATCCACTTCGATATAGGATCAGATATGCCCACCTTCACAAGGAATTGGGTAATTGTTTAGACTGTCGCTTGTTTCATTGCAATACTTTCGCTGAAGATTGATCTCTGCAGGCAGACTTATTTCGTGGATTTCCGCTTGGGAGTTTACCAATGGAAACTAAGGTCCTAAATCTGGATCCAAAGATACTGGCTTCAGTGCCTGCGGGTGTTTTAAGCCGTCTGTGTACTAGAAAAGGGGGGAAAACTGGGCGTGTTTTTTTTTTGATATTTCTACCGTTCCGGCATACCTTATTCCCTAGTTCTATTTAATTCAGTGGGATTCGTACAATTGCTTTCAGAAGAGACTCAGTTGTTAATATCGAACTGAACATTTTTTAACACCTGATGCACATACACAACCTTCTCGGACCAGCGGTGGCTGCTCCTAAAGACATATATTCGAAAAATTTGCATATTCATCGGCCAATAATAAAACCATTCCTGGAACTGGCAATGTACATACATACATATGCATATATAGAAGTACGTATGTAGCACATACGCTCAAGGACACCTCACTCATACACACAAACACGCATGAGCACACATATGTACATCCACCTATAATTGTATTTATCCTCTGATGCGTACAGCAGCATGTAAATTGCGATTTATGTCAACCGGCCTTCAATGCTGCTGCTATACACATACATACATGCATACATATGCACTCACGCGATATACATACATACATACACATGTGACGCCTTCAGGATTCAATTACTCACATTTCAGTGTTAAGTTGCTCTTTTTTCACAATTATTCACTTTTTTCTTCACTCTGCATCGAATAATACGCAGAAATTGCGAATGCAGAATGAAACAGCAAAAAAAACAAAAAAGTGAAAAGTGCTGCATAAATTGTAGAAGAAAAAATATGGCAAAACGAATTGTTAACAACCACATATTATAACGGCTTCATATTTATGAATTTTTAACGCCAACAAAGCGATGCAGCCGCAGCTACACAGTAGTTAATAGAATGAAGCCCACACCAACAACACAATTTGCAGGAAAATAACTCAATTAAGGCGTGACTCGCAAACTTTCATATATGTATGCCATTTACTCGACACATACTCGTACATACATACTCGTATGTGTAAACTGATTTTATTTGATTTTTTTTCTGTTCATGAATATATATGTATCTGAAGGATATGTGTAAGTACGATAACACGACGCATCAGACAATGATGTTACATATATCTACTGACTCACCGTTTTTATCCAACGATTCCAGCAAAATTTAAATTCCTCCCTATCAATATAGCCATCACCGTCCGTATCGAATACTTCGAAAATCTGCTGCAATCGATCCGCTGGCACATCGTAAATGTGTCCTTTGTCGTTGCGGAATAACGCCCGACAGATGAGCGTAAATTCGGCTAAACTTAGGCGGTCATCGCTGCGAAAGCAAACAGAAAAGTATAGCAGTTTAGTAGACGTTCATGCATACAAACGTGCATACATACTTAAATAATAGACAAACATGTGCATTTATATAAAAGTGCGTATATTTGTATAGAGACCTATCTATGTACAGGCAAAATTAAAGACAACAAGTTAAATGTTTGCTTTTAACAGAAAAGTGTTTAGCAACACAAACACAAAAAAGTAGTCTTCCTTATGAAGAAGCGATAAGGTCCGACATGATCGTAAATTGCTCAAATTAATTTCTCAAACATTTAAATTTTTCACACACAAGATTTGGAACAGTAAAAGGGCTTACTTGGGAGGCTAGCTTAAATAGTTTTGTATGTATTTTTCATGAAAACTTAATCAAATACAATCGCTTATTAACCGGTTTCCTAGGTATAATCTAATAAGTACTTATGTATTTGGTTTTTCCATTAAGTTTTCTTACTTCAAAACAGTTTAGCTCAACGGCAGGTTGTTCGTGAGCTGAATCGTGTAGGAAATATCTTCGTCAGTCCAATTTTTTTATGGTTATTTATTGGCAGAGGAAGTGGTCTATCGTCCAAAATAATTGCATGGCTCTATGCCACCGCAGTTAAGGCTATTATGTTGAATGGAGTTCTCGTCTGGTGGAATTGACTAGAGAGAGTTTCACTAGTTAGCAGCTAGAGCGCATACAACAGGCTGCTCTCAGTGGTATTAAAGGGTGCAAATCGGACCACTCCCGCTCTGGAACTTACCGCCATGCTAAATATAATACCATTGCAGGTAAGACTGCCACACCAAGGACTTAAATCAGGTAATATAAATCACCAACAGGGATCAGCCGGTAGCGCCACTGACCACCAGTGGTCACTCTGCGACAGCAAAGTCCTTATGCTTTCATAGCTGCAGCCCTCCCCTATAGTGCCGTTTGTGATAAGTCACTGTCCGTTCGGAATTCAAGCTTTCAGACTACAAACATGGGCGCAATTGTCTGCGAAGCTTATATTGAAGTGTCTTGGCTCGGTGTTTAAAACCAGTGCTAAGGAATACTAGGCCACTTATATTAGCCACCTTCGTAGCTTGGTGATTGTCTCACGGCGTTGCAGCTATTGAGTAGTTCAACCTCCGTTGCATTTCCTATTTCCTAGCAACCATATTAGGATAATTTCAAATTGATGAATTTATTGGAAATTCGGGCTATTCCTCCACTACAATCCTCCACAGTTTGTGACCTAACCACGAACTCGCGGATGCATGCTCCTTCATATACCTTACCGCCTGGAAAATTATCGTGTAGTCCGGTATGATAATGGATGACTTCAGATAAACACCTAAAAACTTCAGAACACATACAACCCCCATCCCCTAAAAACCGCCTAGGTTGAAGGTATGCCTACATTTTGAGTAGAATTGACTTCAGATATTTTTCCGTACCTCTCCTTGTCAGTTCGTCGGCAATGTCCCTGTGTCCAGGGACCCATACAACAGTCAAGGAGCATTTTGATGTCAGCTACTTTAAACGTCATTCCTTTAGGTTTAAGAGATTTGATAGCAGCCTGGCGCTCGGGAGTAAATAGCAAAAGGCCGCACTGGAGGGGCGGATGTTTAGAGCCTCCGAGCGGCCTCTAATATAACTTTTAGCTCTGCTTGAAAACGCTACAATGGTCCGGTGAGCGAAAACTGAGGTCTAGCGTGAGTTCTTGATACGATTTCCGCAGTCAATCGCTGGATTCTGCTAAGTATTTTGAACTTCCTCTTATCCACAGGCTATCTTTTGAATCAGACAAGGGTTTTGAGCTTAACCTGCTCCAGCAATTGGCATTTAGATTATTCACTTTTTTAGACTGACGCAGAACACTTTATCCAAGTTCAGCCTTGGAAAATAAATCCTCTAATTACAATAATAGACTAAAAAAAAATTATCAAATAGTTTTACGAAAGATCTTGCTAGTGCGAAGAAGAAAGTGCAAGGCAACTGTTTTGAAAATTCGGTATCCGCTTTTAATTTTCCACTTTTCCCTCACAAAAATCACTGTTATATAATTTACTGCAACTGTCAATCCCAACGACGTACGTGTCATTAAAAAAAAAAGCTACAAATTTTACGCCACCAGATTTATTGCCCGCATATTTTAAAGCTTTTTCCACACTTTCAATGCAATACAATTTTTCAAACTCTGCTCCAACATCAATAAAATTTTCACTAAATTCTTACAGCATTTTCTTGGTTCAAAGTTTCTTTTCCTTTTTTTTTTTTTTGAACACTCACCCGTCCTTATCGAATGCCGTAAAGCAAGCGTCCATTGCTGAACCGTTCGGATCGTCGATTACAATTGGCGGTGTTGGTGAGTCCATTCTCACGGAAATGTCTCGCTGCAGCCAAATTTTATACCGTCAAGAGGGGCAACAACAACCACAACAACAATGCACCTGCAAGTAGAAGTCAAGTGAAAGTTTAGAATACATACACAGGCAATGCACAAGTGCATACACACACGCACACGCACACACACACACACAAATACACAAGGAAACACACTCACACCCTCCACACGTACGTGCAGTTGAAACCACAAATTGGAGCGCAAACGCGTCTTAGTTAAAACCTCTAAATGCCACTTCGTCACGCTGACACCCACCAAGGAAGCGGGAAGCAGGCAGCAGAAATTGTTCGATGACGTACTAAAAATTAAAAATATTCAACCGAACACTTTAAAGGAGAACTTTGCTTTGGTGGCGCAATGAATGTGGCAGAGTAGCGAACTCCACCGAAAATTGCACTGTCGATCTAAGACTGCGGCAGCGCGCCAACTGTTGGCTAAATGTTCGAACGGCAGCGTTTTTGTTGTCACCAAGCGCAGCTTTTTCAAGCTGAACGCTTCAATGATTTATCGAAATAACAAAGCGCACCAACACCCAACGCAGCGGAAGTGGCTTAGGTGTGGTCGTCATGGAGACTACTCGTTCGACTTTTGTGTGACGTACGTATGCAAGTATACTCCGACGGCATGGCATGGGCTACTCAGCCAAACTTTGAAGCGTTTTCATTCAGCGGATTTGTGGGATTTTACAATTTAACTCAAATAAGTGGCTTCAAACGTGAACAGCGGCGGTGCGAGTTTGCAAACGAGGCAGGTAAAAACAGCAGCAGCAGAGGCGTTAGAGGCGGTAATAGGCGTATGCGACCGACCCCGCCTGCCTGCCGCATCATCAAATGAGTAATGCGCGAAATGATAAATCGTTTGAAAGCATTTAGGCAAATTTCTTTATGAACGAATGAATTTAGGGTACACCGCACGAAAATGTTCATTGTCATGTGATTCGGTTTAGTTTAGTAAAAAAAATTAATAGCGGGTGAGCGCTTTTAGATACCTCGTAGGGGAGAAATACTTTTTTGGTTTTTGGGTTTTTGAAATAAGCAAGTTTTCTGAATAATCTTTAAAAGTCTTTTTATGTAAAAATTTACCCAAGCAAATTTTTAAATTATGAAAATCTTCTTTCTTTGAGTGTTTGAAAAAGCTAATTAATTTATTGTCTAAAAGCATGTAAACGAAAATTTGCAACTGTCGCTTAGACTTGCTTAATGGCACATTCATCGCCGCAAATTTCAAGGTAACTCAAAGTTATTACACTCGTAAGCAAACCGCAGTAAGCAGTAAACGAAAAGGCGAAGTTGCAGGCAGGACAATGTAAAATCCAAATTTCGTTCGTTTTAATTTCCTATGTAGTGGAATAATAAAACCCAACACTGCACTAATAGAAGTACACAGTCTGAACGGAAATCAGAGACTTACATAATTTTTATTGAAACCAAGTCAGCCTAGCGTATCGATCTCGTGTAAATGTTTTGCCTATGTAAATCCTTTACTACCTCAGCGACCATCTGGGCTCCCGGTTGAATTTACTTTTGTCCTTGATCTATGTAGCAGATTCCCCATTTTGTGAACGCCACAGCTGTCTAAGTTGAGGGCGTCGAGCAGACTTACTGGGAACTTAATAAGGTTGGACTAGGAATTTACAAGTCCGAAATGGGAAAGGTGAAAAGAGTTTCTGGAGATTGCTTTCTGCGAAAACGTAGAAGGTGTCATGAATCCTCGCTAGGAATCTCGCTACAGAGGGTTACTTGAGCGATGAGGCAGGACACTGGACTATGAGTAGTGAGGAGTCATTCCCCAGAGTAAATTTCCTTAAGGGAAGTGCGTGGTAACTGCGCTGATTTTTCTGACCTTCTGGATGACCCTTACCTCACTTGGGCGATGGTAATCTATTGATTGCACATACAAAATTTTCTCCTGCTCAAGAGCGAGTCCAACAGTACTATATTGCTTTTAGATCCAGGTACGATCGAACTTGACATACTTGGATCCCGAATACATCGCAGAAAATGAAATTTGTGTTTTAGTCTTTGGAAGTTCATCTATTTCGCCGTTTACGATTACACGTCAAACCAAATATATATATTATAATACCAAATAGATAATATTATACATACATATATACCAGTATAAACAAGGTTGCTAAAATTTGATAAATAATTTTACGCAAAATCAAAATTTGCCAACTTCTTTTTGTTCTGGATGTAATTTATTTACAAACTCCCAAGCCACCATGCAAGCAGACGGATTACCTAACTGAATAAAAAAAGATGAAAATTCTGCGGTAGCATAGGTAAAACCTCAAAAATAAAACGATAAGTCCACCCACCAAAGGAGTACTCGTATTTTGGAAATATCATAGAGAAAATAGTGAATGGTGGCAATCAAAAGTTGAATGAAGTGTGTGACATTATGAGCACATAAACACGCACACACTGGTAGACCAAAAATAAATATAATTTGGCAAACAAAAAAAAAAAACGTATGTCAAATATGGTTGAGGTGAAAACATTTTGAGCGGATTTTCCGAAAGATGAGCATAAAAGCTGTTTTGTTGTGGCACGCATGAAAACTCGCATTCCGAGTCGGAGAAATTTACGTCATCATTTCAGTTGAAGTAGGTATCCATTAGCGGTGGAGCTACAACTACCCTAACCCCCGTTTGGTGCTAAAAATATGCCAAATTTTAGTTAGATTTAAACTTATTTTCCATTCCCATTATCATGCTTATATATATATATCCGATTTAGAGCGCAATTTTTTTTTTTGCCGCCAATAGGCATTGATTTCCCAAACGAAGGATTAACGTGAAATTGAATAAATATCAGCGCAAAAAAAAAGAAAGTCGTTAAAAACGGAAATAAACTAAATGCTTGGTGGGGCATGGCTGTGTTTGACAAAGTCACATTGAGTGTGTGTGTGTATAGGTGGCGATGTACATACATATATATATATATATATGTACGTATTTGCATTCAGGTGTTTAGCGCTTTTTACGCTTCATTGCGTTTGATTTTTGTGCGCCACACAATCCTCTGCTCGCGATGCGCAACTCTGCTACATTTTTAGTAGATAAGTTAGTAAGCCACTTTTTGGCATTGAAATCGTGACGAAGTGTGGCACGTGGTACTTACCCTCCACTTACTCGCTCGCAAAACTACTCGTACGTTGGCAACACATTGCTTTCCCTTCCCTTGCGTCGCAACCAATCAATTTCTAAATAGTCTTTCGACAATGTGTGGAAATTAGAAAAGTTTCTTTTTTTCACTTTTCCATTATCGTGACAATCAATGCGCACGCAATACTTGGTTTGGGGTACTCATTGCCGACACCACAACGAGTCAAAGGATCTGCCATGACAAATAATAAATGTGCCACTATTCTGGGGAAGACGCTAGGTAAAGGTTTTTCTTTCGCTAATAGAAAGCAAATCACATTTTTTGGCGGTTTTGTGGACCAAGGAGCAAACCTGTGTTTTACCGAATTTTAGTTACAGGGTTCGCATTCGCCAAGACCTAAATTTGCTTCAAGGATTATCCGTTAGCTGATTCATTATCTGTTTCCAGAAAGTGTTATTTCTTAAGGAAGTCAGACTAGGAAATGAAATGCCCTTTCCTTCCTGGTACCACTATTATTTAGTATGCTACAGGCTTCACATATGCCCAGAACTTCAGCCTGAAATATGCTAGCATGGTTTTTCCAGCGGCAGGAACCGATTGGCACCAGGCCCCTCGGGGTAGACCCCTGACCCTGCAACGCAGCCCATCTGTAATTCGTCAGTATAGACACAGATGGCTTCGTTATCGGCAGCTTGGCCTCAATCGAGGCTTTTTACCATATAGTAGATAAGTGTTTTCATTTGTTATCAGTCTAAGGCTTAAGATTAAACCATGCTTGAAGGTCTTCGATTTGTACAGCCCAGGCTCTCTGAGTCGTACATCTGAGTTACGTTTAACAGAATTTAAGGCTTTTAAAGCTGCCTGATGGTATAAAAACACGTGAATTAATTGACACTCTACGCTTCCCGTATATACTTAAATCCGCAAGATTCGCTTGGGAGCAACAGCTTTCTAGACGGAGAAAATGTTGTAGTTCTAGTTGTTCCGAGTCAATAGGAAGCCTTATAGCGTCAGTATATAGAAAACCGTATAGCGTCAGCAGGCACCGAAAGATTTTATTTGGGAACCAATAGGCCCTTTTTCTCTTTTCCTTCCCATAATTCGCGTTGCCAATATAAAAGACCTTACCACTATTAGTGTACATGGCTGATGTAGCTTTTTGGACACTAAAATGTGCTAATTGCCTAGTTTAAGTTCGTATCCAGTATGAGTCCCATATATTTCGCAGATTCGTTGATCTTACTTTCAATAATTGGTATATATCACTACTGGTGGAACCTTATGTAAGTATCATTTTGCTTGACTTTAGTCCTAGACCGTTACTGCTGCCTCGTTTATCTATCGTCTAATTTTGCTTGACTCGGCAGCCTTCCTCCTCTTTTTTTATCACAAATCAGTAAACCAATTACTGCCGGGCCCTATATGCGAAGAGATAGCGCTGCACCTAGATATACTTGTATCATCCTGCTTCCCAGAATTTGATCTATAAATATCAACAATCACGAAAAGATGCCAACATCCGTAAACACTGTTGTAACTGCCGGAGGGTGGAATTTCAACCAAACTCAAAGTCCTATCTCAAAGGACAGAAACTCGGCAAGTTCAGTATCCAAGAAAAAAGCAAAAGTTCAACATCGAAGAACTTGATCGCACAATTGCTACGCACTATCTCAAAGGATATTAACACCAGTAAAAGTTCCATCTCAAGGAAATTAAACAGAAAGTCTACAAGTCCTACCTTAAAGGACGAAATGCGTTTACGCGTACCTCTTTAAAGTACTTATTTAAAACAATTACTGGAATTGTATGAATTTATATACACACGTAAATTACCTTTTTTTCTGTGTATTAGTAACTCGTTTTCGATTGCCTCGTAGGCACGCAAAGATCTTAATTGCAACCGTTCACTACACTACGCCCTCACGAATACGGACCT